GAAGATGATTGGACTTGCTAGAGAGGACAATGGGCTCTACCTTCTTATGGAAGCGCGTGAGACAAGTAGCATTAAGAGTCAACTTCCACTGTCTTTGTTGTCAGAATCTATTCCTTCCCTCAATAAAGAAATCTGGTTGCGTCACTTCCGGTTGGGTCATCCTTCATTTAGCACTCTCAAAAATATGTTTCCCACCTTGTTTCAAGGTATAAACTTAGAAAATTTTCACTGTGATGATTGTGAACTTGCTAAACACAAACGTGTCAGCTTTCCTAATAATAATAAAAGAATGTCTACTCCTTTTTCCTTAATCCATAGTGATGTTTGGGGGCCATCCATTATCCCAAATATATCGGGGGCCCGTTGGTTTGTCATTTTTATTGATGATTGTACTAGAGTGTCATGGATGTATCTCTTAAAACAAAAAAGTGAAGTCACTCAAATATTTAAATTGTTTTTCCAAATGATAAAAACCCAATTTGAGACTACCATTAAACGGTTTCGTTCTGACAATGCCAAAGATTATTTTAATCAAACATTGTCTTCCTTTTTCACTGAACATGGTATTATTCATGAATCATCATGTGTCCACACCCCACAACAAAATGGGGTGGCTGAAAGAAAAATTGGGCATATTCTCAATGTTACCCGAGCATCTTTATTCCACACAAATGTTCCAAAACAATATTGGGGGGAGGCTGCTCTTACTGCAGCCTACTTGATTAATCGCTTGCCCTCTCAAATTCTTCAGAATAACAGCCCCATTCAGCTCCTCTCCAAATTCTACCCAAATTTCAAAACTTCAAACCACCTAGTTCCTAGGATCTTTGGGTGTGTGTCATTTGTCCATGTTCATTCTCCACATCGAGGAAAACTTGATCCCCGAGCTATTAAATGCATATTTCTTGGTTACTCGCCTACCCAAAAAGGTTACAAGTGTTATCAACCTACAACAAAAAAGATTTTTGTGTCTATTGATGTCACTTTTGTCGAAACCGAATCCTTTTTTTCCAAACCTTATCTTCAGGGGGAGAAGGAATGCATCGAAGATAAGGATGATTTGTTCAAAGACCTTTCTTTTATGCCCAAGACTCCCGAGTCAAGTCCTATAACCACTTCATTACAGACTTCTAATGCTACTCGTCCACTACAAGTTTACACAAGAAGGGCAGCACCTATTATCCAACCTGTGCAAGTCCCAGAATCTGACCCAATTCTTGAAACTGTAATCAATGAGACTGTTTTAGAGGAGCAAATTGTGCCCCCTGAAACTGAAGTTGATGGGACTGATTTAGAGGAGCAGAATATATCCATGGATGCTAGAGATCTTCCAATTGCAATAAGGAAGGATGTTAGAGCATGTACAAAAAGGCCAAGGTATCCAATGTCTCACTTTATATCCTATGATAATTTGTCCAACAATCATAGAAGTTTTCTTGCTCATTTAAACACTACCGCTATCCCAAAAAATGTTACCGAAGCACTAGATAGCAAAGAGTGGAGAGAAGCTATGAAAGTTGAAATGGATGCACTTGAGAAAAATGGAACTTGGAAGTTAGTAGAGCTTCCTAATGACAAAAAACTTGTTGGCTGTAAATGGGTATTCACCCTTAAATACAAGTCCGATGGAACACTAGAAAGGTATAAAGCAAGACTAGTAGCTAAGGGGTACACACAAACATATGGGATTGACTATCATGAGACTTTCTCTCCTGTCGCAAAAATGAGCACTGTCAGAATTTTGTTATCTCTAGCAGCTAACTATGGATGGAATTTGCAGCAATTCGATGTCAAGAATGCTTTCCTACATGGCAACCTTGAAGAGGAAATTTACATGGAGGTCCCACCTGGGTTTAACTTTGAGAAAGACAAAGTTTGTAAGCTAAGGAAGGCCATTTATGGACTGAAACAGTCCCCTAGGGCCTGGTTTGGCAGGTTTACCACTGTGATGAAAGATATGGGATATAAACAAAGTCAGGGAGATCACACTTTGTTTACTAAGCATTCAGCCTTAGGGGGAGTTACAGCACTAATTGTTTATGTGGATGATATAATTGTAACAGGAAATCATCAAGCAGAAATGGATAGCCTAAAAGTGTGTTTGCTAAAAGAGTTTGAAGTAAAAGAGTTGGGCAGATTAAAATATTTTTTGGGCCTTGAAGTGGCACACTCTCGTCACGGTATTTTCATCTCTCAACAGAAGTATGTGCTGGATTTATTATCTGAAACTGGTAAATTGGGATGCAAACCAGTAGAAACTCCAATTGAACAAAATCACAGACTTAGTGAATTTGTTGAAAATGCAACTGTGGACAGAGAATCCTATCAAAAGTTGGTTGGAAAGTTAATCTATTTATCTCACACTAGGCCAGACATAGCTTATGCAGTGGGAGTGGTGAGTCAATTCATGCATAATCCCAAAGAAAATCATCTTAGAGCTGTTTACCGAATTTTGCAATACTTGAAGGGCACTCCTGGAAAAGGAATTCTATTTACAAAGGGTCAAGGAATTACTTTGGAAGCCTATACAGATGCTGATTATGCTGGATCAGTAGATGACAGAAGATCCACATCCGGATATTGTACTTTTCTTGGAGGAAACTTGGTGACTTGGAGGAGCAAAAAACAAAACGTTGTTGCGAGGTCAAGTGCAGAAGCAGAATTTCGGGCTATGGCTTTAGGTATTTGTGAACTCCTATGGCTGAAAATAATTCTACAAGACCTAAAGATTGAATGGAATGGACCCATGAAACTATATTGTGACAACAAGTCAGCAATAAACATTGCACATAATCCAGTGCAACATGATAGAACGAAGCATGTCGAAGTAGACAGACATTTCATCAAGGAAAAATTGGATAGTGGGACAATATGTATACCATTTGTATCAACTGGAAATCAGCTGGCAGATGTTCTTACAAAAGGATTAAGTGGTTCTACATTGCAATCTATTATCGGCAAGTTGGGAATGAGTAACATCCACTCTCCAACTTGAGGGGGAGTGTCAGAACGAGCTGTACATGTGTTAATTAGTGGTATATTTTATAGTTAAATAGGATTAAAATCCCATAAATAGGATTTGATTAGCTGTGTATGTATTTATAGAAATTATTGGTCCTTACTTATAGAATTGATTGAGGGCAATGATAAGTATTTATTAGGAATTTCCTTTCCTAAATATATTGTATTCTATTTAAGAGCACAGGCTGCTCTAATCAATAATAATAAAAACATTATCTCTGTCAGTTGAGTACTTAACAAACAGGTTCTGCTTCTAATGGATGGCGTGGCCAAGACATTAGAAGAGAATTAGTTCCGCTTCTGCGCTACACAAGTTTTGTTGAACAGTAGCAAGACACTCCAGAAGGCTCTGAAGTGTAAGCTCTAATATTTGTCTAAAGAAATCAGTCAGAAAATCTGAAGACAGGAGTTGCTACTTAAGTCCAGATGCTGAAGACTCGTGTTTCTAAAGACAACGGGTTCTAAAGAAACAGTCAGAAGATTTGAAGACGGAAGTTTCTACTCAAGTTTCTAAAGACCCAAGGTTCTAAAGATAAGGATTCTAAAGACCACGTGCTGAAGACTCTAAAGACAGAAGTTCTAAAGATTCTAAAGACTTGAAGTTCTAAAGACCCAAGGCTCCAAGAAAAGGTTCTCACAACCAAGTGCTGAAGACACAGTTCTGAAGACTCTGAAGACTTGAAGTTCTGATGACCTTGTGTTAAGTTCTCGCTTCTAAACTCATGCTCGCAGAAGCCTCTGAAGTGCAGAAGGAAAGAAGATAATGTTAACGTGGTACAAATAGTACATGATACAATCAACGTTTCATTCCACTACCATTAAAGGACGGACGCGTCGCACGATCTTGTCCCCCACGTTACTGTTCAAGTTGCCAATGTTTCTGGAAATCTCAAGAGTACCCCTCAACGGATATATTATTTTATTGGTTATATAAAAGCTTGAAGACTAAGAGAGAAAGTTGTCAATCACTGAATAATCACGCGCAAACGTTGTTCATAGCTTTCATATTCTTAAGTCATTGTTCTTAAAATAGTTTACATATTCAGCTTGTGTAGAAGCAATAGTCTTGTAAACAAAACTTGTATTCAAATGGTTGTTTGATTTTATTTAAGAGACCGGGTAGGTCTGTATCCTTAAGAAGTCCTAGACTTGCGAGTTTTAGAGGTTGTTAGTCACTTGAGGGTAGCTTGTGCATTGTAATAATCAGGTTGATTATTGTTTGATATTCCTTAAGGGACCGGGTAGGTCTGTATCCTTAAGTCTTTGACTTGCAAGTCTTAGAGGTTGTTAGTCACTTCCGGGTAGCTTGTGCAAATTGTAATCAGTTTGGTTATATTGAATTAAGTCCTCAATTGAGTGAGGCGAAATCACCTTGACGGGTGGACTAGACTAACTTGATAATTTTCAAGTGAACTAGTATAAACATACATTGTTCTTTACTTCCTGTTCTTATTTATTGTTATTATCAAGAGTGAAGAAAAAAAAGGATTTTAATTTAAAGGGGAATATTTTTCAAGAAAAGTTTTTGTTTTAAAAATCCAATTCAAACCCCCTCGATTGAGTGAGGCGAAATCACTTTGACGGGTGGACTAGACTAGCTTGATAATTTTCAAGTGAACTAATATAAACATACATTGTTCTTTACTTCCTGTTCTTATTTATTGTTATTATCAAGAGTGAAGAAAAAAAAGAATTTTAATTTAAAGGGGAATATTTTTAAAGAAAAGTTTTTGTTTTAAAAATCCAATTCAAACCCCCTCGATTGAGTGAGGCGAAATCACCTTGACGGGTGGACTAGACTAGCTTGACAATTTTCAAGTGAACTAATATAAACATACATTGTTCTTTACTTCATGTTCTTATTTATTGTTATTATCAAGAGTGAAGAAAAAAAAAAGATTTTAATTTAAAGGGGAATATTTTTAAAGAAAAGTTTTTGTTTTAAAAATCCAATTCAAACCCCCTCTTTCTTGTGTTTTTCACACTTTCACGTAGTACCTCATATGCAGTACAATTGGACATTTAAATTCTCTAACCTGGTTTACTCTCCCATATCTGAGTGCTTCAGGAGGTAAATTAGCATACTTTAGAAAGGCTGCGGCATGACCTCTCCACCAGTTATCACCATCCAAAGCAGGTCGTCTAAGAAAATGAATCAAGTACATAAACATGTTGAAAATGAAATTATTTAAATTCATGCATGCTGGAGAAAGATAGAGGGAAAAATGTAATGTAAAAATAGAGATAGAGAGCCGGAGAGAGCGTAGAAACACAGATATATATCAGTATGCCTAAGTGCCAAGATAGATATGGGCTAAACATGGGCACAAACTATTCAGATGTCATCTAGTACAGATATAAAATTTATGAGCTCACTAACATAAATGATATGGGAAATTTCGTTTCTTTTGAGAAAGACATATCAACAAAAAGAGAAGAAAAAAGCTAGAGATAGGGAAAAGTATCTTTCTAAAGAAACTGAATGGAGAAGAACAGGTGGAGGAACAACCAAACTAGAGAAACACTAGCACACCAATGCAGAAGATCACTCCAACCATGTCTGTATTCTGATAGTAATACATTTTTCAGAGCTCAAAGGCCATTTCTTGCACACAAAATACTGAATATCTCTCCAACTTCATCACATACTTTGATAAGTAATATAATTTTCGGAATCCAAAGACCATCATAATGTTACTACGGATTAAAGCCAAAAACATCAAAGCCAAAAACATGAAATTTGAAAGAAGATTTCAAGCTACTACGGATTAAGTTATATACATCATAATTTGTAAAGTTGAATATCCAACGAATCACCACCTGTTGCGTGCCCAAGGAGACAAAACCCCTTGTCTATAGAGCCATAAACAAAGAAACATGAGAGGATTTCGTCCAACATCAAGCAACGGACCCTGAATCATTGAGTGTGGTATAAATGTTAAAAGCATGTTGGTAAAAATAAAACATGAATTTGAAATTAAGGTTTTAATAGAAATACAGTGTATGCAGCTTCGGCAAATTTATGAAGAGTCGCAGCCTCCTTAACTCGTATCTCCGGTGCTTCCCTGGATCCTTCAGAGGATTCTGAAGATTTTTCATTTTGTTGGAGTAAAGCTAAAGCTGGACGACAAAAACATCAAGGTTATATCATGATGGTGAAGCTAAACTGATTTGTGGTATACTGATAAAAAATTGGTGAGATCAGCATTATCATACTAAAAATCCAATGTCGTCATTTAAAGAATTCTTCAACTCAATAAACTCAACCACATGTGATCCCGAATCCAAGCATAGAAGAACGACAGCACTTAATGGAAGGAAGGTGATATATTTGCTTTTAGAAATTAAGGTGATTTATTGCGTTAATTAAATACATTGATTTAAATAAACAATAACTCAACAGATCACTAATAAAGTGAGTGGTCTAGCATACTCGTCATGTCAGAAGCACAACAAATTAAACTTTGCGGCTTGTTTTAAGGAGGATATCATAACCACATTATTTGAGATAGCTACCCAACACTAACTACAAGAATCATATGCACATTTACAAACAGTTTATGAACATATCCTAAGTTATTTTTATTAGTGTATTGAAATTGGAAACACTAGTAACAAAGGTAAATATTCATGTGAGCCCAAATAAGCTCTTCCAAACCTGCCAAAAGTTCCATATGGCCGGTTCCAGAAGCTCGATAAGCAACAAGGTCACCTAACAATCGTGCAACCGAATAGACTTCATCTTCTTCCTTTGCAGTCAAGTATTTGATGCGGCCAAGACAGCACAAGGTCTCACGTAAACCGTTATCAAAAACCTCTCTATAATGGGATTTCCAAGCATTGTCATGGGATTCATAGAAAGATCTCCATCTGAGAACATCAGATCCTGTAAAGCACTGAGCTAGAGCAACCAAACAAACAAGAACCATGAAGATGGACAGTAACGTGTGCTTCCGCCAGTGAAGGTTCCATCCCAATTCTGCATTCACAAACAGAAAGTGAGGTAATAATAATACTAATGGTACTAATAAACAAATGCAGAAAACACCTAGAGATAGAGAGCTCTGTAGCACCAACACCTCTGAAAAAAAGGTGTGTATGTATTTGAATCCAACATTATGATTACATATAATTAATTAATTTTTTCAAAGTGTCAACGTTTCAGTGTTGTGTTGTGTTTTTCCGGTGTGTCTGTGCTTCATAGATAGAGATTGATGAATGGAGGAACTCACCAACCTAAAAGACAAACAGCTGGTGAGGTATCTTTGGCAAAATAGTAAGCAGAATTGGAAACAAGGTAAGTAGCGCAGAGAAATTGAATCACTGTGAGGGCGAGGGTGCATCGACTCCACAATAACCATTTCTTATACCTTCCCTATCATATTATAAAGGATTACATTTCTTTAAATGAACAAATGCAAATTGAAATAACAATAGAATTAGAAAACGTTCGTTCATACTCGTCGGTGGAATCGTAAAAGGAGGCGATCTGTGGTGGACGAGGAGCCGTCGTCGAGAATGAGAGTGGCGACGGATTGTTGAGCAACGGCGGTTTGAAACATGACTATGATTCTAATAGCGGCGGCAAAAGAAACGACGGCGAAGGGAAGAAGAGAACGGAGATCGCAGAGGAGATAGGTTTGGGAAATGAGAAGGGCGCCAATGAGGAAAACGAGAGCGTTGGAAACCGCTAAAACAATGCCTACACGTCTCAGCTTTCTGACACCAAAACCCATTGCACCCACCGCCGTCGCCGTCATCGCCACCACCCGCTCCTATCTTCCACCTTCCATTAAATTTGATTTAATTATAACAATAATAATCAGAATCGGACGATTTCTATGCTATTCTGTTACTAACAGTATTATCGGAATATTTGCCTCAAACAAAAACTATTGTCTGCATAATCTTGCAACGGGAAATAAAATACAAAACTACAAGTATATAAATAACATGAAATTTACTCGTTAATTCAACTCTAACATCCTGCTGATTCATCTAAGAGCTAAAACTATTACCATTAAAGCTACTGTACCAAAATTTATGAAATCAATTATACATATTTATTTTAATTTTTTATGGGGTCAAAATTCATTTTATTCCTTAGATTCGAACAAATGCGGCTCACAAATTTTTACTAAAATAAAATAAAAATAAGACCACCATAACTAATGAACTGGTATTAATTAAAAAATAATCTTTTTCTTTCGGATTTTTCTCTAATATTTTTTCTATTTTTTTATGAATACTTTTTATTAAATTTTTCTTTATTTATACCTATTTTATAGTAATTTGATGTTGAGAGAAAATTCATAATTCAAGTGTTGTAACTGATTATTATAGAGGTGTAATTGATTACACCTATATGAATTAGTTAAATAAGCTGAAAAATAAGTGATTCTGTAGTTGATGTAATTGGTTACGCATTTACGGTAACCTTTCATTGTTGTATTTTTAATTATTTTAATGGATGTAATTGATTATAGATTTTGTGTAATCGGTTACAGACACGTAAATTTTAGTTTTTGATTTATGTAAGGTTGTTGTTTGTGTCTCAATCCACTTGTATTTGTATATATACTTTAAAGGTATTATAAATGAAAGTTAATGTATATTTTCATACTCCATTATATTCTCTCTCTAATTCTCTATCTCTATCTCACTCTACACATTCAAACCCTTCATTTTCACCAACCAAGTGATTCCGAGTTCTAACATTTGGCATCAAGAGTCAAGTTCGATCCACGGAAAATCTAGTGTGCAACATGAATTATGTCTTCAATGAAATAGTTCCTACAAACCTATCCATCTTTGATGCGAAGACTTACGACAAATGGTGCAAGTAAATAAATGTGTTGTTTGACTATCAAGATGTTCTTTAAGTGATCAAAAGCGGGGTGAATCATCTTGTCGAATGTGCAACTGATGCACAACGAGCAACTCATAAGGAAGAGATGAAGAAAGATTTCAAGACGCTGTTTTTGATCCACCAATGTGTGGATGGTGACAATTTTGAGAAAGTTGGCGGTGAATCATCAAAGAAAGTGTGAGAAATCTTGGAGAAGTCATATGTAGGGGTTGACAAGGTGAAGGTGGTGAGGTTAAAAACACAAATGTCAACTTGAATTAATGCAAATAGAGGAAAAAGAGACAATCAACAACCATGCGACGAGAATTACTTGGTTGTTGAACTAAGTAAAAGCATGTGGAGAAACTATTCCAGAGTATGTTGTCATGAAAATCTTGCGTTCTTTGAAGGCAAGATTCAATAACATAGTCGTAGTAATTGAAGAATTGAAGGATCTTGCGACAATGAGCAAATAGGAGCTTGAAAGCTCTCTTGAGGCTCATGAGTAAAGGATGGAGAAGAGGAATAGTGATGAGGCAAAGGCAGAGATTGCTTTGCAAGCTCGTTTTAATGAGAAAGACGGGAAGTCGAAAGGAACATGGCCCATGAAGATTAAAGAGAATTTTCAAATTTTGGTGGAAGAGGGTCTCAAAGTTCCAAGAACTTGACTTGTCAAAAGGGTGAGAGCAACTGCAACAAAATGATGGTCAATGCAACTTTAGAGGTGAAAGAAAAAGGATAAACAAGAGGAAGATGTAGTGCTTTATTTGTCAAAAGTGCGGTCATTTTGTAAGAGAGTGCAGCGCGAACAAGAAGGAACCTTGAGTGGATAAAGTCAAGGTTGCAAGGCAAGAGTTTGATGAAGAGAACACACTTTTGGTCATGATTAAGAAGGGGAATGCGGAAGCAAAAGGTTGCGGGACAATAACGGCAACCTTTTTGGAAACGCTGCAGAAGTATACTGTAATCGGTTATGTAAAAGTTATAACTGGTTACATGAAGAAGAAAATAAAATGGTGAGTGTGAGAGTAGCAGTTCAGTGCGTCGAGGAATGGTATTTGGACTCTGGGTGTTCTACGCATATGACAGAGAGGAAAGATTAGTTTATCAAAATCAATCATGCCATGAAGAACATAGTGAAGTTCATGGATGACACCACTCTAGCGGCAGAAGGGATCTGTGATGTATCGATTGAGATAAGGGATGGTATACATTCTTTGATAAAGGATGTGTTGTATATTTTCGGAATCAAGTGTAACCTTCTAAGTGTTGGCCAATTACTTGAGAAGGGTTATAAGATTCGTATGGAGAACAAGACACTGCGCGTTATGGATCCAAACAGGGTTTTGATCCTTAAATGTTCTATGGCTTCCAATTTCAAGGTTGAATTGAAGGTGGTGGAGTATAGGTGTCTTGCTATAGCGGCTAGTTGAGAAGAGTGGATATGGAATTATCGTCTTAGGCACCTCAACTTTAGAGATCTCAATGCATTGAAAATGAACGAAATGGTAAAGAGGTTGCCATCGATCAACATACCAGCTGAAATTTGTGAAGAGTGGGCGCAAGTGAAGCAACACAACAGTAAATTCAAGAAGGATGCATGTTGTAGAACCAAGCATCGCCTTAAGATGGTGTATTTCGATGTGTATGGACCAATGCAAGTTGATTTGATTGGTGTCAATAGATATTTTGTTACATTCATTGATGATTATAGTAGAAAGCTATGGACATACCTAATCAAGATAAAGGATAAGGTATTCGAAGTTTTTAAAAAGTTCAAGTCCATGGTTGAGAGGCAAAATGGTCACAAGCTCAAAGTTCTTAGAACGAATATGGTGGAGGCAAATGCGTCTCAAATGATTTTGGGAGGTTTTATGATCAAGAATGGGCAGTACATGAGGTTTCACCGCCTTATACACCATGGAAAAATGGTGTTTTTGAAAGGAATAATCGATCGATTATGAACATGGTGAGAATCATGTTGAATGGGAAGAACTTTCCAAAAGAGTTATGAGGAGAAGCGGTATCCAGAACTACCTATTTAATAAATAGGTGTCCAACAAATAAGCTTGAAAAGATAATTGAAAAAGAGGCATGGTCCAGATTCAAATCGAATTTGGATCACTTGAGAATTTCTGGTTCCGTAGCATATTGATATGTTTTGGGGAAACTTAGAAATAAGTTGGATGACAATGGAGAATTGATGATACTTAATGTGTATCACTCTACTGGAGGTTACAAGTTGTATGATGCAACAAAAAGAAGGATTGTGATCAACTGAGATATCATTGTTGACGAAATCAAGGAGTTACAGCAGTCTGTAACCAGTTACAACATTAAAATCTAGTTTATGCAGATTTTGATAGTGCAAAACCAGCCTCGTTGAAGTCTAAATTGACGAGAATGTGTGAAGATCAACAAGGCAATGAGGTTTGCCTATAAGACTCCATGATTTTGAGTTGTTTTATGACAACGAAGTTAATGACGATGGTAATTTCGTCCACTTTGCACTTATGGTCAATCTGAATCCGTTAAGACGGAAGAGGCCTTGAGTGATCCAAAATCGATTTGTTCTATGAAGGAAGAGTTGGAATATATTGAGAATAACAAGACTTGAGAGTTAGTTGATCGACCAGAAGGAAAGAAACTTATTGGTATAAGATGGGTCTATAAGATGAAGGCAAATACCATGGGTGAAGTAATCAAGCACAAGGCTCAATTTGTTGCAAAGGGATTTTTTCAAAAAGAAGGCATAGACTTTGAAGAGGTATTTGCATCGGTTTCTAGAATTGAAACCATTAGGATAGTTGTTGGTATTGTGAATAACAACAATTGGTCCATATATCAAATGGATGCCAAATCTACATTTTTTAACGTACCACTTGAAAAGAAAGTTTATGTAGAATAACCCCCTGGTTTCGTTATGAAAAATCAACAGTCAAAGTTCTACAAGTTGAATAAAGCATTGTACGATTTGAAATAAGTTCCAAGAGCTTTGAAAAATATGATAGATGGTTTCTTAAAGGAGATTGGCTTCAAGAAGTGTGTATTCGAACACGGTGTGTGTGTGAAGAAGGATACAAGTGAAGAGGTGATTATACTTTTTCTATAGGTAAATAATTTGTTGATTACAGGAAGCAGTGAAAGGAGCATTTCTAAGTTCAAGAGTGAGGTTATAAAGGAGTTGGAGATGGCCAACATTGGCCTCATGACATTCTTCCTTGGTATTTAGTTAACAAGTCCAAGAAGAGGTTGCTCATGCACCAAAGAAGGTATGCACTTGAATCGAGACTACAATTGTTGAAGAGTGAGGATGAGCAAGATGTTAATCTAACTCAATATAGGAGGCTGATTGGATCCTTTGTTACCTGTGCAATACGCGACCGGATTTGGCACTTAGTGTCAGTATTGTGAGTAGATTCATGGAGAGTGTGATACAGTGGCAGAACCGACTATTACTGGTTTTGCATTTTGTATTCGCAAATGTCGCAGTAAGTAAGAGTCGCCACCGACTTTTATTTTATCCCACAAAGGAAAAGGAAAAAGAACAGAAAAAACCTTTTTTTGAGATATTTCTGAGTACGGGGGGTATATTATAGAAAGGGAAGGTGTTAGCATCCTTTTTATCCATGGTTTTCCATGGGCTCTTGGGTACTTGCTCATTTTGAAATTCCTTGTGTGTGTTTTGAAAAAATTTTGTTTAACTTCGTGATAACCCTTGTATTTGTCCTCAAGAGTGTGACGAAGTTGTTTTTGAAAACTATTTTGAAAGTGTTTGTGTGAAATTTGTTTGCTTTGAGCAAGTACTCAAGATTTCTACCTACTCGAAAAAATTCTGTTCATTTTCGTTTTCTTTAGACAACGCTATCATACTATTAAGGAGTAGGT